GCCGGTTAATGTAGACATTGACTTTATAAGGATAAATAACGAAAATCTTTTTTTTTTTTTTTTATACCTGTTCCCTTTTAGAGAAAAATTGAGAAGAAATTTATAATCTTAATTGCATCTTCAAAATAAAGATCCGACGTTGCAGTAAACATTTTTGGACATACCAAGAAGATGTGACTCGATTTTATCGGTCGATATCCCGATCTCAAGACGATGTCGGGACCTCGCAAACAAGGAGATGGAAATCAGATATTTGAAAGATATATTTAGACAGCTAGTCGGGAAGTGATAGGTAACATAGATCGAAATAGAATCAGACTAAGAGATTGAGGGATAGAAAAATAGATTTGGAAAGATGTGATTAGAATAATTTAGATGGAAAAGGACATGAATCAAGAATAAAAAAATAAGGCTTACGTACTTTTAAAACTAAATGATGGATTTAAATTTGAAGAGGCTGCGAGATGTTAGGCGTTGGTAGAAAAATGGAATGAAGGTTGATTGACAGAGAGACAAGTTATACATTATATCAGACAGATAGATAAATAATGAACATATATATATATATATATATATATATATATAGAGAGAGAGAGAGAGAGAGAGAGAGAGATAGATAGATAGATAGATAATGAACAGAAACCAATCTGATACTGATTCGTGTTGTCAATGAAAAATATAATAAAGAAATAGTCAAATGTTGGACAATTTTTCCTAAACTTTCTCCTAAAATTAAAGCCAGTATACGAAACTTAGAACGCCTCATGATAAAACATAATAGACATTCGTTATTCTGTTATATTTAACAAGATATTTCTGAATAATTATCTACTGCTCCTACACATTACATTTTATATATATATATATATATATATATATATATATATATAAGGCAGGATGTGTGTGTGTGTGTGTGTGTGTGTGTGTGTGTGTGTGTGTGTGTAACGAATGCACGGCCGCAATTCTCGACGGATTTGAGCCAAAATTTACGTGTACATGCTCCAAGTTAGCGGGAAGGCCAAGACCGACGTTGCATTTCCCAACTTCCATCGATAGTGGAAATAATCGATTTTTTTCATACTTCTACGGCAGTTTTCATGTAGTTTGCGGCCATTTTGTACTGACGAGAGTGAGAGTCTATAGCTGGCTGCCAGGAATAGGCAGGAAGATTCTATTGGCCAGCGTGAGAGCCAACAGCTGACTCACACGAATGTAAACTAGCATGCTAGCATGCAAAAAAAATCGATAGCTGCATTCGTCATAAGTGGGGAAAATTTAAATCTGCATGGCACTTTACTCCAATTGGCTCATTCACTTGCTTAAACTCAACGTTGATTTTGATTCCGCAGAACTGGGTTAGGTGAAAAAAAAACATTTGTTGTTAACATTCTTTTTCATACGGTTTTTCCAGTTACGCGTCCTTTTTTAAAGCTGATCGTTTTGTGTTCATTTTGTTTAGTTCTTTTTTCGTAATAGATTTAATGTTTAGTATAGAGCTTGTAAATTCGCAGTGTGAGATAGGCAAGAAGTAAGGCATGTAGCAACATCAGCACGGCAAAAGGCAAGGAAGGGAAAAATATTTTTAAGTTAAATGATAGCAATTGCTGTATGTGTCGTACGATTTTTGAATCAAGCACGGGCAACGCCGGGGCCATGCTGCTAGTGTATATATATATATATATATATATATATATATATATATATATATATATATATATGTATATTATTTTTATGTTTATACGTTCTTTTTATAGATAGAAATATTTAAGTAAATGCTATATTTATAATAAACAAAATAAATTTACCCGCTGCCCCACACAGCAAGATGTGGCACAAGGCCGAGTTTAAAGTGGGGTATCCGAGCCCGTTGGCTCGGGCAAAAATTCCCTAGACCACGTAAAAACGGGGTCAGTTTCAGCCTCGTCTGGTGTATACCCTCTGACATAAGCCAGGTATACCTACACACCAGTTAAGTATAATAAACAGTATTGTAATAAACAGTATTAACGCCCTTTACCGGCCTGAATATCAGAGGAATTTTAATAAAAAATATTCTTCCACCGATATACGGAACCGTCATATAGCCTGACGTGCCTTAACCGATTGAGCCACAGAGGAGCGTTTCGGTTGGCAAGGTCGATTTTACTGTTTTTAAACTACAATTCTCCATGATTTTCTCTCGTACATTCATATCTGCTCGATGCGTAATCAAATGTAAATAAATGACGTCACACATTATGAAATGGACAAAGTCCGACAATTATTTTGCGATTTTTTTTTATGTTTATACGTTCTTTTTTATAGATACACGGAGAATTTTAATTTAAAATTATCCAAAAATATAAATCTATATATATATATATATATATATATATATATATATATATATATATATATATATATGTGTGTGTGTGTGTGTGTGTGTGTGTGTGTGTGTGTGTGTGTGTTAGAGCGTGCATCTTATATTTTATATCATAAAAGAAACAATTCATATAAAGAATTAAATAGCAATGTGATTTATGGTGAAATCACTTCGCTAACAGAACTTAATAAGTCATTAACTGACTATGTTATTTAAATGCATATGACAAGAAATTTCGTGGATTTATTTTTTTTCAAATTAAAACAAAATTCTCACTTGATCGATTTGAACAAGCACTCTAGCACCGCGGCATCGTACGTTCTAAAACATATATTCAACTGTCAATACACAGCATAATTTAAAAAAAAAATCATCTTTCGGTCTACACATATTTCGTCTTAACGTTTGCCTATGTATGGGAAAATTGTGCCCTGAAGATGACAATTTGAAATTGTCGGAAGTACTAGGCATGTGTCTTCCATATGACAACAACATCTCATTAAGTTGTGTTAGCGAAATGATTTCGCTATTAATCACATTAATATTACTATTTAATTCCTGTATAAATTGTTTGTTCACTATATATATATATATATATATATATATATATATATATATATATATATATATATATGTATATGTGTATGTATGTGTGTGTGTGTGTGTTTGGTGCAGCTTAATTTATATTAGGATAAATCATTCATACAAAATATAAAAAAAGTTAAAATTAGTAAAGTTAATGAGATAAAATGGCGAATTCGCTGGGTTTACTAAATTTTAAAAATGTTTTAATGTGCTATTTATTGACGGTTGTACAATCTCGGAAAAAAACAATTGATCCCGCAGTACTAAATTCCCGAGAAAGAAAAAAAACTACTAAGACATATCACTATATTAATTGAACTATATACTTAGTTCATGTCATGTTAACTGAAAAACACTTGTAAAAAAAGAATTCGTGGATTTACCATATTACAAAATTCATATAAAAATTCTCACTTGAAATTTTGAACTTTAGCGTTGCGACTCGCACATTCCGATATTGTACAACCGTCAATAAATAGCACATTCTTAAAAAAAAACATTTTTTGGTCTACAAACAATTATTTCGTCTTTAAGTTTTAACTTTAAAGGAAAAAAATTACAGTCTGACGATGGAGACATGGATCTTCGAAAGTACTTAATTAACTTTAAAAAAATATACACTAGAAACATCTGACAACATTTTTATAAATGAGGATCACATCATTCAATGGATTAACAGTATTTTAATGCATGCATTATGTTGTATTAGCGAAGTGATTTCACCATTAATCGCATTAGTATTGCTGATTGATTCTATGTATAATTTTTTCTTTATATATAAAATATATGCTGCCTAATATTATATATATATATATATATATATATATATATATATATATATATATATAGTTTCACCCCAATTCAGCTGATAATACCACTAGAACGCAGGGGTTTATGGGGAATAACACTGAAAAATGGAATGGAATGGATTGAAGAATGAACCAGAAAGGAAGATGGAAGGTGTCGATTGACGCTGCATTCTTGTAGATTGTCACTATCAGGGAAGCCAGAAATCAGAATGGAGTTCCACTTGTGAAGATTTCGAGAAAAGAAACTGTTAGAAGTGGTGGTTGCCAATCTAACTTCAATTCATGCAAACGAGGCACCAGAAAAAATAGCTCGTCAGAACAGTGGCCATGAAAATATTTATAAAAAAGACAAAGGAAAGCGACGCCATGTTGGTGAGAAATTGGAAGGAGTCGACATGCCTGATCCATACACTAAGGCGTTTGAATTGTTTACTAAATCCGTATCCAGAATTTTTTTTTTTTTTATGATGGATTCAAGATATGTGTCATCAATGCTTTTATTCCAATTCGAGACCAGAGATTTTATTCGGTTGGTCTGTTTATTTTGAGTTCTATATCTTAGGACACTTATTATCAAGCAGAAATATTTGCGCATAGCCTCAAGGATACCGACAAATTATTATATATCGACTCAGGCATAAACCCGGCCAGTTATTACGAATAGCTTCTGGCATAAACTCCATCAATATAAGCAAATAGCTGACCTTAATTTCCTTTCTCCTGAGGATATTATCTCAAATTTTACAGAAGTCAGTATTTTCCCAATGACATTGTTATTAAGCAACTGATTTGGATAAAAGTTTCGGAATATAGGTATATTTATATCATAAATATACCAAATGACTTACGGTTTATTAATGGCTGTTTTTATTACAAATACAGTAATTGATTTGTTGTGAGACTTTATAAAACTGTTCCTCATATTGCAAATAAATTTATGAAATTGTCTAGGTATTAATGTTTTAATCATTTCACCACATGTAAGGCAGTGCGGACATTGATTAATTCGTTTTTCAACCGTATGCAAGTTATTTAAAGCCAGAAATTACTATTTGAGATTGTAGGAATTTTTTTGAGATAATAATGATTTAGTAATGCAAGTCTTAGTAATTAACCCATAGCTGGGGGAGATGATGTGGATTCATACCTTTCCCAAGGTGAATATAACAAAATTAAAAAAAAACTGCTTTCTCGTTAATAATTTCGATAAATTATCTATTCTGTCAACCGCCACATCCAAGCTTATAGCAACTGGTAGTCTCGAGCGGCCACCCATCTAAGTACTGAACAGGCTCAACGTTGCTTAACTTCGGTGATCGTAGGGGGAACTGGTATTTCAACGCTATAAGGACGTAACATATAGTGCAGACTCATGGGGGTTACATAGTGTGAAAAAATATGAGGAAAAGAAAAAAATTGTTAAGGTTAGAGAACAAAAAATTTGATTGGTTAATATTTTAGCGGCATATCAACACCGCTGTGGGTTACTTAATGCAGAAATCTAAATATTCGGAACACAATTTTTTCGCTTTTACTAAATATATTTTGAATATAATTGTATGCTTTCAACTATAGATAAAATGTATTATTGATTATTTTGCTAGAAAATGTACTGTTGGTAATTCTAATATGAAATGTAGTGTTGCTAATTCTAGAATGAAATATACTGTTTCTAATTCTACTATGAAAGGTACTGTTGGTAATTCTACTATGAAATGTACTGTTAGTAATTCTACTATGATATGTACTGTTAGTAATTCTACTATGAAACGCACCGTTGGTAATTCTGCTATGAAATGTTCTATGGGTAATGGCACTATGAACTATGAAATGTACCATTGGTAAGTCTTCTATGAAATGTACTGTTGGTAATTCTACTATGAAATGTACTGTTGGTAATTCTACTATGAAATGAACCGTTGGTAATTTTGCTATATATAAAACGGGGTCGGGTAGGTGTTTCCCGAGTCGAGTCACTGCCCTTTGACATAGCCCGATCTAGGGTTCCACTCTGCCCAGAGGCAGACAGTCCTCCCAGCACAGTTGGAGACGAATCCCCAACTGCAGAACCAACATACAGTATTTACTACTGTACTTATGTAAATGGCGACATAGCCATTATCATCCGTAGGTATGCTACAACAATTTGTAAATTGGGAAGAAAGAAATACTTTTTAGGAAGACAGGCTGCGCGGTCGTGAGCAAAAGAGACAGCCGGAAGTGGGAGTTACGTATTTGGGGACGTCAAAAGCAGTATGGTAGGATATCGGTGAAAATGTCTTCCAGAAACTAAGCAAAGTATAATGAAGTAGGAAAAGAGAAAAAGCCATAAAATGAAAGGAGTCGCATGAAAATATATATATATATATATATATATATATATATATATATATATATATATATTATTGCAATTTTAACGATTGTATAAAGATGAACAGTGTTAAAAAAAAACAATTCGTTAATCCCATGAAAGCAACCAAAGGAAGAATGTCTACTCATCTTGAAGTAAAAAAGTCTGTGACAATGGCTCGCTAATCCCTCTGGAATATTTCTGTTTCTTGAGCACTTACAGAACCAACTTTGGTTTATCCTGTTACAAGGTTGAACCGGCATCAGTTGCCGTTTCTCTGAGAGGGAGAAAGAGAGAGAGAGAGAGAGAGAGAAAGAGTGAGAGAGAGAAAGAGTGATAGAGAAAGAGATAGAAACAAAGAGTGAGAGAGAGGTAGAGAGATAGATAGTGAGAAGAGCGTGCATGAGATATCGAATAATTTTTTTAAGCAAATCACCCCAAGCAAAGCGGGAGTGCCACTAGCACGCAAGGGGTTACCGAGAGTGTGTGTAAGAGCAAAGAGGAGTGTTTGGGGAAAAGGATGAAGAGAAGGGCAGGGATCAAAGGTCAAGGTATCAGAAGATGTCGATTGACATTACATTTGCATATTTGAAGATTATAGCTATCAGGGAAGCAAGTGATAGGAATGGAGCTCCAGTGACAGGATGTGTGAAATAAGAAGTTCTTGGAGTAGAAGAGATGGCAAAAATTTAGTCGTTTCGACAGTGAAAGGGTGGGACCTATTTCAGTTTTTTGGGTATGTATGTATGTATGTACTAGGATATTTATTTGTATAAAATACAAATTGTGGCACAAGGCCGAAAAAGGTGAGGGTAGAGGCTGGTCAACATTAACTATCTTATACCTCGCTAATCTGATTCACGACCCATTCATACATTACAATTACCCATTCACCACAAGAACTCGTCCATCACCAATCAATCCTCCATGCACCATAACACTATGTATGTATGTACTAGTGAGCCAGTCAAAATGACTTGACTCATTTTATAGTCCACCAAGAGAAGGGTTAACCAATCAGAAGACGTAGAATATTCAATCCGTCGTGTATAAAGGTGGCCATTTTGTTTACTCTATCCGAATGTCCAGTGCCAACTTGTCAGGCGAAGAGGAACAGAAGGAAGAACTACGCTCTGCTACTTTTACCAAAATATCCACTGCTGACCTGAACAACGCTTCCCTACCGTCTTCGAAATATTCACTACCAACCTCTGGATTCTATACTCAGAAGACGTAGAATATTCAATCCGTCGTGTATAAAGGCGGCCATTTTGTTTACTCTTCCCGAATGTCCAGTGCCAGCTTGTCAGCCGAAGATGAACAGAAAGAAAGAACTACGCTCTGCTACTTTACCAAAATATCCACTGCTGACCTGAACTACGCTTCCCTATTGTCTTCGAAATATTCACTGCTAACCTCTGGATTCTATACTCAAAGACGACCGTCATCATGAACAACAGGACCGAGATGCCAACCTAGTAGAATGCTTAAATTCATGCAGTTTGAAAGTAGCTCGCCCGTGTAGTTGCAATGAAAATACTTGTAGAAAATACAGAGGGAAGCCACAGCCCGTCTGTGAGATAGCGACTGCAGACGGGATGCCAGATCAGGATCAACCACGTTGCATATCCGTCTCTGGATTTTGTCGAGGACCTCGAGATGAACAGTAGAATCACCAGATCATATATGGCAGCAGTATTCCATGCAAGGACGAAAGGTTGATTTGTAGATTTGTAGGATGGACTCAGGCGAGAAAAACCTTCTGGCGCGATACAGAGAACAAACTTTCCTTGCAATAGATGAAGCTATAGATTCAATGTAGTTGTTCCACACCAGGTCAGTGGACAGCGTGAGACCAAGCAGGCGCAGAGAGGCGCTGGCGTGGTGATCGACATCAGTAAGCCCAATACGCTGAAAGCATCGATCACGATGACATGTGATTTTGTGCTATTGTTCGATTTCTGATCAGTTTCATCAATCGGATTTCCTTCACATGACTTTGGTTCACCCGTGGTAGGGCTTTTATGCATTTTTTTAGAGGTGTTGCATGTTGAGATCCAGGCCGTTATTATAAATGTGTGGCTATCTAGACAAATAAATAATAGTGAAATTCTAATCTGGGTTTAAACATTCGGTCGCGTAACCAAGTAACCAAATGGTAATGGTGACAGTAGCCACTTCCTTGAGGCGTCACTCAGAGAACCGTATAAGTTACGCGAAGAAGTGCGTGAAAATTGATATCTCGACAATACTGATTAGTGATGATTGTAGAGCTACATTGATTGAACGTAATGGAAGCTTCTAGGTCGGGTCGTTCGTGGAAGTAGTTTACCAAAACGACAGCAATTTCTGGAGCTAGTACTGCAGACAGTAAAGTATAGGTACCTTAAAATTTGACGATGATTGCAAGATACATTGGAAAGAGTTATTGTAAAACCAAAATTAAGGGACAGAATATTTTTTAGTGAAAAATAAGGAAGTTTCATCTAAAGTGTATCTTCATACAAGACAATGCCTCTCAAGGACAAATGGCACAGTGGATAAAGACCCAAAGAGTGTGAGTTCAATACCCGGTTAAGGCAGTGGAGAACATTCAGAGGGAAATTAACAGAAAATAACTGATAAATGACATCCATTAAACATGAGACGTGGAACTAGAACAGCCTACCCCAGTGAGCGAAATAAAGTGTTCAGTTTGACATTCCAACCACCTGAAGAAAGCCGGAGCGTACAACGGCCGAAACGTTGTAATAAATATGAGGACAATAGTCCGAATAATGTAAATGATGAACGCTTCTTGATATTCTGCGAGGATGTGCGGGTGGTGTAATGTATAGCAAATCTGAATGGGAATGCAGAGAGCCGCGTTCGAGCTGCAGTCAGGTTTGTTACATACACTTTACATCGGCCAAAAACCTTCGAAAATTTATGAATCCATTTCCTCCCCTCAGGTGTGGGTTAAACAGTAGGATTTGCATCTGGGAAAATCATTGTTATTCTCAAAAACTGTTAATGCAATGTTTACTAGCTGGAAAAAACTAATTATTCTTAGAATCCACAAGATTTTCAAATTTTAAATAACCCACAAACGGGTGGTATACCGTAAAAAACAAATCATTTAATTTTTCCTATTTTGCATAATTTACTATTGCTCAGCTTCCCGAAAAATGTTTTCTATGATACACAATTAATTGAATTGTCTTCAGCCTCTCTATATATTAATCCAGTTTAATTTATTTTCAGGTTTTCGATTCTGACGCAGGTTTCCATATTTGCTAATATGTTGTATTCTTGTACACTTGCATAGTCTCCCAATTGGTGTCTACTTACATTTATATCTTTGGTCGGTCTACGAACTTTCCAGTCGGTCCTCTCATATACAACGGGAAAGTGTTGTACCACAAGATATCCGAAGTAAGGCGGCGTACTTTCATGTTGCTTGTCATTATTTTATTTTATTTTAAACACGATCAAGTTAAAAATTAAGGGAAAACATTTTTTCCAAATGATTATTTATGAACATCTGAGAATTCTCTGTCAGAAGCTGTCAGTAGCCGGCAGGTTTCTTCAACTGTTTATTGTCGTCGATAAAATATTGATAGCATTTCACAAAAATAGCTTCTTTTTTTTTTTTTTTTTTTTTCGCATTCGTGTAATGAAATAACGAGTCTTATCTACGTTTTTTACGCTTATCCGGAAACGAATTTAAAAGTTCAGAAGACCGTTTTTTCATCGATAAAACAATTATCGTCTACTTAGACGAACTATCAGCGCACATGGATTTTGTTATTTACGTTTTCAACGAAGCCTACGCTACCCGTGATATATGTGGGGCCCTTGTAAGTTTGAAGGAAGGAATCGAATGTATTAACATTGTAACGGCTGAAGAAAATAACAGCAATAAAAATATTACCAACAATACATTTTTGAAGAAAAAAAAATTACCAGCAATAATGATATTACTAGAAATACATTTTTGAAGAAAAAATATTACC